CAGCTCTTCCTCAAGGCAAACGACCAGCCGTTACCTTGTGTGCACTTGGATTCTGTTTGTTCCCTGGTTCTCCCCTTGCTTACCTGTGTTTAACCCTTGTCTCCACGGCAGCTTTCCAGTCCCTGTCTGCACGACGTGCCAGTTTGCTCGTTTCTCCCTCATTGCCCCAGCTTAGCCCTTTTTCTATCCTTTACACACACACACACACACACACACGCACACACACACACACACACAGAGAGGCTTAAATGGCTCCAGGATGATATACGACAATCTTCACACACTTTCCTCTGATGGTGGTGGGAAAATGCATGACGGTGGGATTGGTGTTTGAATATTAAATGTAATGAATTATTGTGAACTGTCCCTGTCAGTGGACTCCCGTTGTTCATTGATTTGCTCGAGCGGGCCCAGTAATGGCCCAGTAACATCTCCATTGTGAGACTTGTTGTTACTGTGTTTGGCATATCGAATATGTCACGGGCAGCTTGCCAGGCTTTGCCGTGCGGGTGAGATACTCTTGGTAGTAGCTTGCCGGGCTCTCTGAGAGGGGCAGAGGAATCGAACCCGGGTTGGCTGGGCCGGCCACGTGCAAAGCAAACGCCCTACAGCTGTGCTATTGCTCCAGCCCTATTGTAAACAACTTTATAGAAATAAAAGTTTTTAAAAATTATCTTGAGGGGGCTGGAGCAATAGCACAGTGGGTAGGGCGTTTGCCTTGCATGCGGCCAACCCGTGTTAGATTCCCAGCATCCCATATGGTCCCCTGAGCACCGCCAGGAGTGATTCCTGAGTACAGAGCCAGGAGTAACCCCTGTTCATTGCTGGGTGTGACCCAAAAAGCAAAAAAAAATTATCTTGAACTTAAAGGAATAACATTGACTACTTTGGAGTTTCTGTTTCAGGTTTATAATTGCCTTTTTTTTTTTTAAAGGATTCTGGGCCATTTGTCTTCTTTTTCTTTTGTCTTGTTCTGTTTGGAGGTTCAGTACCCAGGAATTGTTCCTGGCTGTGCCGGGAGACTGAATTAGGACCTTCCACATGCAAAGCCTGTGCTCAGCCTGTCACCCCGTGTCCCGGACCCTTTTCCCTTCAGCTTGGTGAACACCTTGGACGCCCGTTTAATCATGTGGCAGTCTGAATACCAGCTGCATAGTTGGTGATGGGAAGGGATCAGTGTTAATATTTTTGGGTCTCCAGTAGATTTGAGTTCTGTCTTGGAAGATAAGGCCATCTCTCTGAAGTTTGTACAGAGGAAAGGCTCTTTAAGGCCGTGGGGGTGGGGGTCGAGTAGGGTATGTGTGGAAAGAAAGTCTTTCTGTTAGACAGTTTTCGAAGCATGATGGTGATCCTCTAGCACTTTATGATAAGAGCTTATCTACTTAATAAAAAGTTAAGGGGGCCAGAGTGATAGCACAGCAGGTAGGGCATTTGCCTTGCACGAGTCCGACCCAGGTTCAATCCCCAGCATCCCATATGGTCCCCTGGGCACTGCCAAGAGTAATTCCTGAGTGCAGAGCCAGGAGTAACCCCTGAGCATCACTGAGTATGACCCAAAAAGCAAAAGTAGAACAAAAAGTTAAAAGAAAAAAAGCCAACAGCCCAAACCCATGACTTCTTTGTTATAACGTCCATAAAATCAGCTTCATCCGGAGAGTATATGCATCCCAGTCACTGCGTTTATTGTAAGGTCGCATCGAGACCTGACATTTGTCCCCGTGCTGGTCTTCAGACCTTTGGGAGAGGAAGTCTGATGTGGGTTTGGGCAGCAGGTCGGGGAGGTGGTCAGAGGTGGGACCGGGAGGCCCCAGAGACTGGACCGAAGTGGGGTTCCATTGCAAAGGAGGCACGGCCTCAGGTGCGGGCCCCCGACTCTCACCGCTCCGTGTCTTCCTGCTCTCTGATTTCTTGATAGCGGCCAGTGTCTTTCTGTTCTTGGCTCTGTTGCGGCCGCCGTCGTCGCTGTGTGTGGAGCTGAGTGGGGGCTGCAGGGGGCGGCCTCACTGTGCTGTTCTTGGCGGGGGCCTCTCGACAGAATCATCAAAGCTGCCTTTCGGCTCGCTGGCGGAGACTGGAGCCCACTGAGCTCTTCCTGCTGGCGGGCTTTTACCTTTGTACGGGCAGCGACTCGCTGAAGCCGGTGTTTTTCCCCCCCAGGAATCCTGGAAGCCACCCCAGAGAAAAAGGTGGCGTGTTCCCCCTCCAGTCCTCCCTCCAGCTCAGATCCCTCCCGGGACTGATGCGATTTGTCTTTCCTGTCGGGATCCGAGTGCTGGGGGAGCAGGAAGTTCTTCTCTCCCTTCCCTTTACGCAACCCGGTCACACAGGACTGTCACAGAGCAGGGACTCAGGGGCCATCAAGGGAAGCCACCGAAGCAGCCGCTGGAACCTGCCCCTGGCCGGAGCCCCGTGGCCTGAGTCTGTGTGTGTCTCGGGCGTTGGGCCCCAGCGGCCCGTCTTGGCCAAACCAAACTGGCAAACCGACATCGGGGCATGGGCATTGCCTGCCTTCCTGCACTGCCTTTCCCATGTCTCCCTTCTGCCCCCTGCCCACCCTGGAGTCTCCTCACACCCTTAGAGGCAAGCAAGGGTGGGCCATGCTGGGAGCAGGTGGGGTGCAGGGGGCTGGGGAGGCCTTTGGTGAGCCCTGCCTGGAGGTCCCAGTTGGGGAAGTGCCGGCTCAGCCAGCCACCTCGCGGGGCCTCCCCACTCCCCTGTCAGTCCTTTGCTTCCTCTGGGGCACCTGGTTACATGCGTGTGCACGCGCATATGTGTATGTGTGTGTATGCATGCGCTGTGTGTGTGTTCTCTCTGTGTGTATGTATTCTCTGTGTGTGTGTGCTCTCTCTATGTGTATGTGTTGTGTGTGTTCTCTGTGTGTATGTGTTCTGTGTGTTGGATGTGTGCATGTGTGAGTTCTGTGCATGTTCGTGTGCGTCCTGTGTATGTATGCATCCTGTGTATGTGTTCTGTGTATGCATACGTTGTGTTCTGCGTATATATGTGTTCCGTGTGTGTTGTGTGTGCATGTGTGTGTGGTCTGCGTGTGTGTTCTATTTGTGTGTGTGACCTGCTTGTGTGTGCGTGCATGTGTTCTGGGTTTATGCATGCGTGTGTTCTATGTATGCATATGTGTGAGTGTGTGTGTGTGTGTGTGTGTGTGTGTGTGTGTGACAGTGTGTGCCCTCTCCCGAGTGGCCCGAGGAGGCCATATGGTCAGGAGCTGTACTGGAGCCTTGCTCGGCCTCCGTTGCTGGCGAGCGTGTCCTTGCTGGCCCCGGCCCAGGAGCCAGGCCTGAGCATTCCAGCCCCTGCCCAGAGGGGGTGTCCCTAGGTGGGGCTGGTGGAGAGTGGGCGCATGGGCGCGTGGGCGGGTCTGCTGCGCTGGTGAATGCCCACTCCCTGCCCGCCCCGCCTCCCCGCCGGGCACCTTGGCTCTCAGATGTCCTCTCCCTGCCGGGCCGGGACTCTGGGCCAGGATGTGGCAGGCTGCGAGTCCCCGGGGGGAGAGCTGTCCCGGCTGTTCCGTTGTTGGAGCCCGTCTGTCCTCCAGTGCCCGGGGACAGTCTGCGGTTAAGTGCTGGCGGCCGTGCCCCGCGCAGTCCGGCCAGGCTCGCATTCCTGGGCGGCTGCCGGGGCGGCGGGCTCTGAGAAGCCGGCGCGAAATCCCCACATCCCCGCGCACTGTTTGTGTTTAGCTTTGCCGGAGTGTTGGCATTCCGCAGGCATTCCAGAGCCTTCTTGGCATTTTCAGAGAGTCTTACAGCTGCCGCCGGAGCCAACTTCCTTTCCTCCGCTCCCCCCTCCTCAGCCCCCACCCCCAGGTAGGAGCGGGAGCCACAGGCCGCGTGCTCAGTTCACAGGCCACTCGCCCGGTGGACAGGGGTGCAGGGGTCATCCCTGGGCACTGCGGCTCTCTGAAGCCCAGCCTCCCCCTGGGCAGGCCGGTGGTCAGCGCCTCGTGGCTGAGCCCCCGCTGGTGCCTTTCCTGTGAGGGGTGGTGGTGTTGCCGGGGAAACGGGCAGTTGGAAACAGGGTGCTTGTCTCACCCGGGTTTTGGAACTGCTGGAACCTGGGAGCTGAGAGCAGGGTGTGTCATGAGGGGGCTGTGCAGGATGGGAGCCATGTGACTTGGGGGTCACTGCCCATCCCTGCCCGACCCCCCCCCCCCCATCGTCACCGACTGGCTTGGACTGGCCCAAGGCCCCCAGCACTGAGCAAGGAACTGTCCAGGGTGGTCCACCGGCCCACAGTAGAGGCCTCATACCCCGCTTGGAGCTGTGAGTGGCAGAGAAATTACGTGGCGCCTTCGGGGCTTTGAAAGGCGAGTCCATGCGGGGGTTCAGTGGGACTCTGGGTACGCACGTCTAGGGCACCTCCCTCTCACCGAGGGACCAACCTTAGCCAGATTGAGATCCTCCCCCCAGCCACAGGCCTGGACGTGGTCCCCACCTGCTGGGGCTCCCCTCATCGCTTCCAGACTCCGAGTTCCCACACGCTGAGTACCTCAGAAACCTGACACGGATGCGTCCAGCTCACGGGGGGGACACAGTGAGGAGAAGGAGCCATGAACAGGCTGGAGCGTGTCCTCCCCAGTAGCTCAGGGTCTCCAGGTGGGGCCCGAGAGCTGCTCAGTGGCGGCTTGAAGGTCTAAGGTCTAAACGGGGCTCCCGGGGCCAGGGGTGGCTCAGAGGTCAGGGCCCAGATCGCGTGCAGAGGCCCGGGGGCTCGTGGGCTGGCTGCCTTCTGGCCGAGGGTGTGCGGGCCGGCTGGAAGGAGCTCTGGAAGCGCCGTGCTGACACTGAGTAAATGTTGGTGTTCAACGCGTGTGGAGGGGCTGGCGCGTGGCCCAGTGGGGAGCTGAGGGGGGCTCCCGCGCCAGCCTGCCCATGCTCGCCGGGCCGCCGCTCCTCCAGATGCTGTTTGTCCGTCCGTCCGTCCCTCCCACAGCCATAGCCCTGCGCACACCCCACTCACCATCTCTCTTCTCTCCCTGCCAGGCCAAGGAGCTGGAGAACCGGGAGGCTGAACTGAAGCGCCAAGAGGCCTTCTACAAGGAGCAGCTGGAGCTCATTGAGAAGAAGGTGAGGTGTGCCCCTAGCCTGTGGCCCCACCCCGGCACCGAGGCGGGCATTCCCCTCCACCAACACCACGGGTCGCAGTCGCCGAGATGGGGCGGGGGGGGCCTTTCTGTGGGCCGTGTCTGCCCTCCTGCGTGGGAGCGAGAGTGTCCTGTGGCCACGGGGTCGTGCTGGGTCCTCTGTGTCTTCCTCACGTCAGTTACGCCGCCGTGGACGGAAATAACACGAGTGTTAAGTCTGGCTCTGCAAATACGTTTAAAGTTGCATTATTGATTTTTCCCCTGGGGTCGGCGAGATTGAAGTGCACCGCGGGGCACTCGCTTTCTGGAGGACAGGCCTTGAGAATGAATGGCGCCATTCACCAGCCAGCCTCCCCGGCCCTTGGCTTTTTAATTTCAAGGCTACAGTGGCTCTTGAAAAATAACTCACTTCTGTCCGTGTGTGTACACATGTGCATGAGTGTGCGTGCAATGTGCACGTGTGCATTGTGGACATGCCTGTGTACTTGTGCACACGGGTATGTGTACGTGTGTACGCGTATGTATGTGCATGTTTGTGGGTGTGCGTGTACGTGTGTACGCACACTGTGCATGCCTGTGCGCGTGTGGGTATGTGCACGTGCGTATACACACTTGTGTGCATGCCTGTGTGCTTGTGTACATGTGTGGGTGCGTGTGTGTGTACACGTGTGGGTGTGTATGTGTGTGTGTGTGTGTGTGGTGTATGTAGGGAATAAGGGCAGTTTCGTGGGTAGATCACAACAGTTTTGAAAGAAATGGCTCGTGGGAGGCAGTGGGTGGAGGGTTAGAAAGGAGGGTCCCATTGGTGCTGGAGACAGCGGCCAGGCCCCCTGAGCACCCTGAGGCATGGCTCCCTGCGGGCAGAGGCCAGGGAATGTCCCGGGCGGAGCTTTGAAGGGAGAGTCAGCTCTAGGGCCCTGACCAGCCTCTGCGGGTCTCTGTGCTCCCAGGCTAGGGGTAGGAGCGGACTCCTTCCTCCCACCCTGGACACCCACCTGGCCACCGCCTGGGGGTGGGGGGGTCTTTCTGGGCTTGCACATGGCGATGGGAGTTTTGCAGTACTGACCGCCACAGCCCCGTGCCCAGCGTTGGGTGCTTACGGGGGCCCTGACAAGCCTCCTCGCCTGCCCCCCACACCTAGGCATGACCGTAGCTACTAATGAACGACGGGGATTGTGATTTGAGCGCCTGGGAAGGCGTAAAACAAACAAACAAAAAAACTCCCTTCCCCCTCCGCAAACCCCCACCCCCCAGCTCCACCAGCTCTAATTATCACAGTTGCCCATATGTTCATAAGCGCAGATTTTTGTTGTTGTTGCTGTTCTGTGCACAATTCTGTGATCTCCTGCTGTGCGCTTGCATGTTGCCCTCTCTGGGCGGGGACGCTAGAAGCATGTGTGCGTGGCTCGCGCCGGGGTGGAGGGGAAGTGGCCTCGGCAGTTTGCGTCTCTAATTTCTCTTTTCCACACGTCCGTCCCTCGCCTCTGCGCGTGACTCGTGACTCGAGTTCCCCTTCAGACCAGCTCTGCGCTTTGCCAAAGGGAAAGAAATTCTCCCCCCCCCCCCCGGGGGGGTTCTCTGTGGGCGCTTTCCTCCGTGAAGCCAAGTCCACATTCCTTACTCAGCCGGACAGACGCTGGCGTTGCAGAGAGCCGGCTGGCAGCGAGCGCAGAGGGAAGGCTTCTCGGAGGAGGTGTGGTGTGTCCTCTCTGACCTTCCCCACAAGCACTTTGCAGAAGGTCCCTCCGGCACCCCAGGGACCAGGGGCTCGGGGAGGAGAGGGGGCACGTTAAGGGACACTGGGGCCGGGGAGGTGGAAGGGCTTGATTGTCTCCGTCGAGGGAAAGGATCTCAGTGGTCTTGGTGACTGGACGTCATGCTTGTGACAGCGGGGAGGGCGAGAAACGCCAAGTCCACCAGACCCCTCCATGGGTGACCATCCTGCCGCATGTCCACTGACCTTTGGTGCCTCTGAGTCAGAGGCCTGAACGCGGGCAGCCAGTGTAGACACCATGTCACTGTGTCAGGACCTTCCCCGAGCCTTGTCCTCCCTCCACCCCCCCCCCTTCCCCACTGACCATGGGAACCAGCTCGGGGAGAAGCTCGGGACAGCTGTGGGGTTGGCCCCAACCCCCTGCCTCGCGGGTACAGGCACGGGGGGAGAGACTGGTGGGGCCCTCAGCTATCCTCCTGCAGGATGCAGTTCCTGAAGACTGGTGGGGACAGCCCAGAGCCCAGCAGGGCTCATGCTCTTGCCTGTGGCCCTCTTGGTCCCCGAGTGCTGGTGGTCTGGGTTTGGGGCCCGGAGGCCACAGACTCCTATATGCTACCTCTCCTCACCCCCCGGGGAGATCTCAATGCAGAGAGCACTGGACAGTGTGCCACTGGGGACTTGGGAGCCCCTGGAGTCCTCCCAACCACAGACCCACGGCTGACCCATGGCACTGAGGGCATCATAGGTTCTGGCTGGGCCAGGGCTCGCACGCTGCCCCACCTCCCCCGACCCTTGGTTTCTTCGGAGGGGGGATGCAGACGGGGCACGTGGGAAGCAGCATTTGGGCTTTGGGTGTGTCTAATGCACAGCCGGCTGGCCTGGGCTCCACTCTGCAGTGACCACAGGAGCTGGGGTGGGCATCCCAGTGCCCCGGCCCCTGAGGACTGAGGGGTGGTCCGCTCCGCGGCGCGGGGGCAGGGGTTCCTCCTCTGCGGGTCTTTCCGGGCTTTCTCAGTTTCCACGGGCTGCGTCCCACTCTCTCCATGGTGCCCGTCCGTCTCTCCCCGTCCAGGAGCTGCTCACATCTGCCTCTTGCGTGTCCGTCGGGGCTGGAGGATGGACTGGCCCCTCCTTACCCCGTGCGATGCCGCCTGTCCCCGGGTGGCCGTCAGAGTTGCGGCTGCCGCGCGTCCTTCACTGCCGTCAGAGCCCTTGCAGAAGACACATGGCACGCGCTCGGTGCCCCTCCAGAGGGGCAGCTTTCTGCACTTGCTGCAGAAATGGGCGACACTGAGCGGCTCTGGGCTGAGGGTGAGCTGACCTGTCTCAACTCCAGCCTGCTGGGCGCAGGGCACCAGCAGACGGTTGAGCCTGGCCCCAGGGCGCTGAGTCAGTTGTTTATGCCCTGCAGCCTTGGTTCCTTCTCTCTTTCTCTGGGGGAGGGGGGCTTAGACCGAAGCCCTCTCACTCCTGCTGACGGGGCGGGGTGGGGCCATCCAGCAGCCCCCTGATGCAGCCTCCCTCCTTGTCCTTCCTTTTGCCCTTCAACCACTCTGTGTGACTTAATCCTGCTGAAAGCAGGGGGCCAGGCCCGCCCGCGAAGGCGCAGACCACCGCGATTCCTGAACGCGCAGCGGCCTGGGAGGGAGGGCAGCAGATGGGCGAGCGGCTCCCTGTGACCGGCCACCCTGCCCGCTCTAGGGAAACGCTCTCGCTTTCCCCACACTCAGCAACTGTCACGCGAGCAGAGATAGCGTTTCTCAGGTCGGGGAGAGGGAGGAAGGCAGAGTGCTGCTTCCTGGATGCCTGATTCCCCCCTTCCCCTCCCCCCACACCCTGCCGTGAGCTCCTGCCAAGGCCGCAGCCTCTTCGTCCACCTTGGCCCGTGCCCCTGGGCGCCCAGGTGGGAAACAGCATGTGGGGAGTCAGAGGAAGGTTTGAGACCCAGCGGTCCAGCCAGGACAGGCTGACTGCCCGCCGGGTGCACAGGTGTGTGTGGTCACTTGCAGGCACCATCATGATGTGCCCAGTGCAGCCACCCACTTGGGACAAGGGGGTGCCACCAGGTACCGCCAGCTCCATTCCACTGGAACCTCTGGCTCGACTGGAGTGGGGGTGCAGGTTGCCACGCCGCTGTGGAAAACTCCTCTCCAGCATCCGTTCAGCCCAGCATGGAACCCCTGTGGACCTCTTTCCAGAACAGAAACACGGCCCCCTGGTTCACCGGCAGAAATGGGGTGTCGGTGGCGGCACCTCGGACAACCCCAGCCGATCGCCGGGAAGGAACGGGCTGTGGCCACAGGCGGCAGGACTGAGCGCTGAGCCACAGGGGGCAGCCCCAGAGGTGGCTAGGTGGCTTCAAGCCCCATTGCATGGGTGCCAGGTCATGAGTAGAGACCCTGGTGTGGCAAGGCACTTTGTGGGACCACAGAGACGGGGCAGCCCTAAAGACAGAAAATGGGGGTAGGGGCTGCCCTGTGGGGCAGCGGTGAAGGAAGCCTGTGAGGGGCCCGGGTAAGCTTCTTTCTTGACCTGGTACTGTTTTCCAGTGTTTGGTGAACCCTGCTCAGGGGGATTCACACGTCTGTGGTACCCTGTTCAGGGGGATTCGCACTTTCATGGTACCTTGCTTGGGGAGATCTGCATTTCATGGTGCCTGTTCAGGCCCCACCCCCGCACTTTTATGGTACCCTGCTCAGGGGGATTTGCACTTCTGTGGTGCCCTGCTCAGGGAAATTCACACTTTCATGGTGCCCTGCTCAGGGGGCTTCGCATTTTTCGTGGCACCCTGCTCAGGGGGATTTGCACTTTTGTGATACCCTGCTCAGTGGGGTCTGTGCTTTGGTGGCTCTTGCTCAGTGGGATGTGCTCTTCTGTGGCTCTGTGTGATACTTATTAGAGTTGAGTATAACTGGCTCTGCTCATCATTTCCCATCATGCGTCCTAGGACTTGCCACATTTAATTTTTTTTTTGATGGTGTGTGTGTGTGTGTGTGTGTGTGTGTGTGTGTGTGTGTTTGGAGTTGGGGCTAGAATCCAGGGCCTCGCCCCTGGAAGGCTCAACTGCTGAGCCCCCTCCCCAGCTCTCTCCGAGTCCTTGCTGCTCCAAGTCCTGGGATAAGGGGCTTCGTGCTCAGGCCCGGCATGCGGTGAGTGGCGGAGAACCGGTGCCAGGAGAGTGTTTGCTAGAATCCTGGCGGGAAGGCCCCATTGGTGAGCGGGAGCACAGTGGGGAGCACGGGGAGCCCTTGTGAGAAGCCTCCTCACAG